CTGGGACCAAACCCCTGAGTATAACAAGGAATTACTCTACTGCTCTGTTGTATTTACTATAAGTAATACTATTAGATTATTATTTATTTATTTTCATTTTTTTAAGAGACGGGGTCTCACTGTGTTGCCGTGGGTAGAGTGCAGTGGTGTCATCATAGCTCACTGCAACTTCAAACTCCTGGGCCCAAGTGGGCAAAGAAGTTGTGGTCCTGATCCCGTGTGGGCACACCCAGGAGGCCGCTCTCCCGAGCTCCGTGCAGGCGGCACGGGGCGGGCTCTGCCCCAGCCCGCGACGGGGAAGTGAAGCCGCCTCCAGTCTGTGCCGGGGCCTCTTGCAGCCCCAGAGCGCTCTGGGCAGGGACTCAGGAGACAAGACATGCAGGAAACAGCACCCTAGAGGAAAACATGGGGGAAAAAGGAGTGTTGGTCTTGAAGAATTTTCCCTCTTAGGCAAATAGCTTTTCAAGTAATCAGCGTGAAATCAGAACATCCCCCTCTCCTCCTTCAGAGGCAGCCGCGCCAGGCAGGGAAGTGGCTCCGGGGCTGTGGGCGCCCCTGGAGAGCAGGCGATGGCTCCGGCCTAAGTCTTAGACCACAAAAGTCTTCGAACCTGAATCCTAATAGTAAAGATGTGGAAAATTCCATGTATCACAATCCTTATTATTCATAATGACATAATAAATAATAAACATTAATAACAAATAAACATTTATAATAACAACTAGAAAACAACTTCAATATTCAACCATATAGAACATATTATTGTTCGTTACAATGGTATTTTAAGGAGTTATATAAACTGTTGTTTTTACAAATAATAAAATAAGGAAATATTTATATTGAACAAGTAAAAATATTTGAATGCAATACTTCATCTAAACAATGATTCTAGGTACATAGCAGATTCAATACACAGCACGTTTCTATCAGGGAATAAGTGACCGTCCATGCTATGTATGTGTGTGCATATATGTACATAAAAGTAATTCCCAGGAGGAAATATTTGAATTTTCACATTATCTGGATTGTGAATGTATGGGCTATTCAAATTTACTTCTCTATATAAATTTTCAAAATGCAAGGTTAACTACAATTGGCATGTATTACTTTTAGCAGGGGAAAAAAAGTCTTTAAAAAATCCCTTAATTCCATCCTTTACTGCTGAAGGGGAGCAGGCAGGCAAGGTACAGGGAACCGGTTTCCATGGCAAGCAGGACCCAGTCTTGCTGGACAGGCCATAGTGGAAGTAAGTTCCCTGAAACCTGCCCTGCTCAGTACAATTATTACAACCAACACACTAAAGAAGTAAGAGATGTAAAGTACTTTGAAACTTACTCATAAAGGATTTTAGGATCACGTATCACCAGGCCTAGGTATAAGTACAAACAGAGGCCTGTATAACATGTGTCTAAATGTTTTAAAGTTTCAAATCAAGCTAACTCTTAAATAATCCTTTTATCATTGTGTAATATCCCTCTTTGTTCCAGTTAATAGTCCTTCCTCTGAGGTCTACTTTGCCTGATATTATATAGTCACTCCAGTTTCTTTTTATATGTGCATGGCATGTGTTTTCTACCCTTTTACTGTTACTCTAACCTTATGTTACATTTATGCTCTTGTACAGAGCATGTAGCTGGGTCTTGTTTTTTTTCAATCAAATCTGATAGCATAATTTTAATTAGTAGGTTTGGACCATTTAATTATTAATGTTTGAATTTAAGTGTACCGTTTCTTTCTGTTTTTTCTTTTTTCTCTTTTTTCCTTTTTCCATTTTTCTCATTATTTAAATATTTATTCATATTTTATTTTAATTTACATATTGATTTGGGGTTATATGTCATTTTATTTTAGTTATCCTAGAAATTATAATACACTTAACATTTCACAGGCTACTAAATTCTGAGCATGGTGTTCTTGGCCTTGACCCTATTGGGGTTAGCTTTGCTTCTTGAGTCTATAAATTTATATATTTTATTAACTGTCAGACATTTTTATCCATATTTATTTAAATATTTTCTCACACCAATCTCTTTCTCTTCTCATTTGGGGTTCCAAAGACATAAATAAATGTTAGTTATTTTGCTTGTGGGGGCGCCTCGATGGCCCTTCGGCGGCGTCTCAGTGGCACAACAAGAAAGGTATTTCCCCCCCCTTCGTGTGAAGTAGGGTGAGGCAATTAGCGAACAGCACACATCTGTTTATACTCATACCTCCAGTTATCTCTTGGGTTGTGAAGAAAGGCAAAAGGGAGGTGGGATGCACAGGGATCGCGCAGAATTCAAAGAAAATTAATCACTTCAAAGGTCAGCTCATGGCCAGCGCGTAATTAGTTTGTGCCTTGCTAGGGCCCGTTGGGGGGGGATAAAAGGCACCCCGCAATTCAGGTCGGGGTCCTTGCCTGTAAGAGCGGCCACTGCGCTGGCACTCTAGGGCCTGGACCCTGGCTAGCCAGAAAATAAAGCTCCTCTTGAGTGATTGCATCCTTGGTGTCTTTGTTCGTCTGCCTGGCGGGGTGCAGGAAGCCGGTCCCTAACATGCTGTTTTACCCTAGGTTATTGAAGTTCAATTCAGTTTTTTCTTTTCTCTCTGTATTCTTTCAATTGGTAGTTTTTATTGATTTAACTTCAAGCTCACTAAATTTTTCTTTTTTAAATTCTATTCTAATGAAAGAGGCCATCCAGTTTATTTTTTATTTAAGATGTATTTTTCCACTTTGAAAATGTTCACTTTGTTGCTTTTCATAATTTCATTTTCTGTTCAAATAATGTTACCGTGTATCCTAAACATATCCAGGATTATGTTTTTTAGACTTTGGGTCATGTTAATATTCCCTGGAGTATGTTGATTATTTGTTTTCATACACAATCCACCAGGTTGTGTTTGGACTTAAAGCTCTTTTTCACCTTCTGTGGGTGATCATTCCAACATCAGTTCAGTTTTCAAAGTCATTACTATACTGCTTGGCTCTGTCTTGCCCATGTGTGCAGTTTAGGGATCATTCTGGGCTTTGCACCTGTTTGTTAGTGCATGGAATTAGAGGATTCCCTTCTCCAGCTCTCTCCTGAGATCTGAATACACACAGGGACCTCTTCTCCTGGTCCTCTCTACAGAAAGCTGTGGTTTCCCTGGGAGTATTAGTTGCTAAACACATTAGAGAAGGCAATGTGAAAGCAAGACCATAAATCTCATTTAGAAAGTCCCAGGTGGTAAGTTGCCATGGTTTGAATGTGTCTCCCAAAAAGCACATGTTGTGAAATCAATCCCCAATGCCACAGTGTTGGGGGGAGGTGCCACAGAGAGATGATCGGGCCATCAGGGCTCCACTTTATAAATGTACTAATGCTGCCATTGCAGGGGTGAGTTCATTATAAAGGGGCAAGTTTGGTCCCTTCACTGTCACGTGCAGGTGGTCTTTTGTCCTTCCATCATAGGAAGACACAGCAATAAGGCCCTCACCAGATGCCAGCTCCCGATCTTGGACTTACTAGCTTCCCAAACCAGGAGAAATACATTTCTGTCTATTATAAATTACTCAGTCTCTGGTATCCTGTTATAGCAGCACAAAACAGACTGAAACACAGGTCTTTGAGAAAGTACTTTCTCCTTCTCTCATTCATGCACAGATCTCTCCTTTCTTGACAAGGCTCACTTTCCAGAAGTTAAAATTTAATTTTCCTCCTCCTATAACATAAATATTATATTTTATTTCTCTTTTAAAACCAGTCAGGCATAGCCTCCCATAGAGTAACTATTTTCAGGAAGTATCTCCTCTAGAGCATCTTCCCCAGCTACCTCAGCAGGGTGCCTGGGTACCCTTGTCCACTACACACACTCAATTGTTTGGCTGAGTGGCAACCTGCTGCAGTTTGGATATGCTCTATTGATGAGTTTGTGGATTTTTAAATCTGGTTTCAACTCGATTAACTCTCACAAAATAGACAAGTGACTTACAAAAATACCTGAAAAGAAAATGAATATTGAAGAAAATACTAATAAAGAGAACCAAACAGCTGTAAAATGACAAGACTGCTATTCCCTGGACAAATTTTCATCAAGCACATTAACAATGAAATGTACCCTTAGTTGTTTTACCCTAAGTGACTCCCAGATATTATCTATCACATATTTTTATTCTTTTTTTTTTTTTTTTTTTTTGAGACAGAGTCTCACTCTGTTCCATGGGCTAGAGTGCCATGGTGTCAGCCTAACTCACAGCAACCTCAAACTCCTGGGCTCAGGCAATCCTCCTGAGTAACTGGGACTACAGGCATGTGCCACCATGCCCGGCTAATTTTTTCTATATATTTTTAGTTTTCCAGCTAATTTTTTTCTATTTTTAGTAAAGACAGAGTCTCGCTCTTGCTCAGGCTGGTCTCGAACTTCTGAGCGCAGACGATCCTCCTGCCTGGGCCTCCCAGAGTGCTAGGATTATAGGCGTGAGCCGCCATGCCTAGCCTCATCACATGTTATAAGACACCTTTAAAACTAGGCATCCAGAATGAAGATAAATTTATTCTATTTGATTTTCAACAATGTATAATTCAAAGGTATTTTAATTCAGTAGTTTGAAAATTTTATTGTACTCTGATAACTGCTTAGAAGTCTTCTTAACCACTTCGGTGCCAGCGTCGACTGTACTCACAGCCGCAGGTGAACACGCACGGCGACTTTAGAAGCCGACAGCCGTGGTATGAAGGCGCACAGCCCAGCGTCCGCTGTAGCCGGCAGCCGTGATATGACTTTTCTAATTTTCCATTTATCAAAATAAAATTGTGAACATTTAAAAATAACGTAAAGAGAACACATATGCATATGTTACCTATTCTGATTGAGATTACAAATAAAGCTGCCTGTAAAGCAAAACAAGCCGCCAGCGCTTTCAGCTTCCCTCGTGTGAGAGCAGACGCCGGCTCAAGGCGCAGCGCCCCGCCACTGCCAGCGGCCGCCGGTTTCCGGTTTCCGGTTTCCGGGTTTCCGGTTTCCGGGTTTCCGGTTTCCGGGCCAGTGAGGCCGCACCCGCGTGGTTAAGGGTTTCTTATTTCATAATGAAAGACAAAAATGGTACATATTCCTGGGTTAATGTTTATTTTTGCTACTGCAATAAAAAAGACAGCTAATAAATGACAGTAATATTATAATAAGCACAATCTGACCTTTGTCAGCAAATAAATGTAAAAGACTGAAAATACGAAGTGACAAGAATTGGAACAAATGGGCTGTCAGAATTTTGCTGCGCGGCTGTGCGGCTGGACGGCAGCGCTGATATCTGTGCTTGGATCAGATTTTTAAATACTGCGATATATTGAAAACCACTGTTCGTGAGTCATAAAGACGACTGGAAAAAAGATATGTATTATCAATAGCAATTATTTTTAAATAAAAGCAATATTTTATGGGAAACTGTGTATATAAACCAATATTAGTGGTTGATTTTACTATAAACAAATAAGAATCAAAGTATAAGTTTATAGAAATAATATCACTCATGAAGTTCATTCATTACATGTCCTGGAAGCAAAGTATCACACCAAAGATACTGAGTCCAGAAACATACCAAGTATGATATGATTCACAAGGTAATTCCTGCTATAAAAATGACCTTTAGAAGGTCATTTGTAGAAGGTCATATAGAAGAATCTTTATAAGAATTTTAATGACATGGAGAGATACAATAAAAATATTTACGTGGCACACATAGGAGCTGTTCCACAGGTATCTCATGCCAAAGTACTTTTAAAACTTCTAAAATTCAATATTAGTTGTACATGTGCTGACCTTTAAAAATAAGTTTCCAGAGAGTTTTTGGAAAAATAAAAATAAAGAAATAGTGTTTCTGACTAGTATGTTGTTAATAATTAAAAAAATAAATATACAAAACCAACTCATTCAAAATGAAAGAGATATTTTTAATTGTTATATGCCATGACTTTATAACATCATATTTTAATTGTAATTCATTATTATACATTTTTCTGAAAACACATGCTAGCTATTAAAACAAATCATTTCCAAAAAGTTTGAAACTTAAAACCAAAACTGTAATCTGTTTTAAAATCTTTGAAAAGTACCAAAATCAAAAGATACCTAAGAAAATATGACAACTAAATGTAATATGGCAGCCTATATGGGATTCTGGGACAGAAAAAAAATATTAGATGAAAACTAAGTAAATCTGGAAAAATGTAAACTTTATTTAACAATAATGTATCAATATTGGTTCATTATTTTTAACAAATGTACGTACTAATGGAAGATGTCAATAATAGGAGAAATGATATAAAGCATATGGGAACTCTACTATCTTTACAACTTTTCTGTAAATTTAAAATTATCTAAAAAGTAAAGTGTATTTAAAAATGCTTCTAAATAAAGTTTTAATCGTATAACCACCCTCATGACCAATTTATAGAATATTTTCATTGCACCTACGACCTTCCTCGTGCTCTTGTGCGAGCACAAGAGCACAAGAGCACAAGTCCCCTTTCCCTGTCCTGGTCCCTGGAACAACTGATTTGACTTTTGTCCCTACAATTGTGCCTCTTTCAGAATATCACATAAGCATAATAATACAGCATGAGCCATAGAATATGTAGCTTTTGGTGTCTGTCTTCTTTCCATTAGCACAACGTTTCTGAAATGCATTCTTGTCGGTGCTCGTATCAGTAGTTCCTTCATTGTCATCACTGAGCACACTGCTGGCTGTAACTCACATTGTCTATACAATCACCACTTGACAGATGTTCGGGTTGCTTCCAGTCCATGGCTATTATGAATGAAGCCCAAACAAGCATTTATATACATGTCTTTGTGTAGACATATGTTTTCATTTTTCTTGAGTAAATACCTAGAATAGAGATTGGTGGATCATATGTTATCGTCACATTTAACTTTATAAAAAACTGCCAAATTGTTTTCCAAACTGACTGTCCTATTTTGACTTCTGACAAACAATATATAAGAGTTCCAGTGCTCCACATTCTTGCTAGCAAATAGTATTAAGAATGTTTTTCATTTTGGCCAGACGAGCAGGTACGTGGCAGCTGTGGTCTCAGCTGCGCTTCCCAGGGCCGAGTGGTGCCGAGACCTTCCTGTGCGCTTCCCGTTCACACGCAGCCTGCTGTGGAGGGTTCGAGTCTTTAATGCATTGGTAAGTTGGCCCATTTGTCTTTTATTTTGGATTGTAAATATTTTTTATATGTTATGGCTATAATTCCTTTACCATATATCTGAAATTTTTTTTAAAAAAATTTTTCTTCCAGTCTGTGGCTTATCTTTTCATTTCATTAACAACATCTTTTAAAAAGTATAAGTTACATCTTGTTAAAGTTTGATTTATTGGTATTTTTCTTTTTATGGTTTGTGTTTGTGCTCTAAGTAATATTTATCTAAAATTCCAATATTTTCTCATATAGCTAATTATTGAAGTTTTAAATTTTTATTTCTTACATTTACATTTACAATTCACCTAGGGATTACTTTTTTATGTAGAACATGTAAACATTGTTTTTCTTTTCTTTCTTTTTTTTCTTGTTCTTCTTTTTTTCTTCTCTTCTTCTTTTTTTTGTTTTTTTACATATTGATGTCCAGTGCCGTTTTTTTTTAATTACATATTTTTCCCATTCAATTACTTTGACACTGTCACTAAAAGTTAAATAACCATAGATGTATGGGTACCATGGCTTAAAGAATTGGTAGATCCATTTTGGGGAGTACATACTATATATTTTTGTGTTTACTGTTCTACACACAATGTTACACATTCACTTAAAAATTATGAAGCACACTAAAAGCAGATAAAAACAACTTTTTTTTTTTTTTTTTTTTTTTCATCCTGTCTACAGCAGATACATATATATATATATATATATATATATATAGAGAGAGAGAGAGAGAGAGAGAGAGAGAGAGAGAGAGAAATTTTTATCTCTCCCTCCCTGCTCCTTTTGGTAAGTCCCTTTTCGTAATTTTTTTATTGGGGACAATCCTCACTTTCCTCTTGGTGCCCGGACTAGAGTCCTCTGGCGTCAGCTTAGCGCACAGCAACCTCAAACTCCTGGGCTCATGTCTGTAGTCCCAGCTACTCAGGAGGCAGAGACAGAAGGATCACATGAGCCCAGGAGTTTGAGGTTGCTGTGCGCTAAGCTGACGCCAGAGGACTCTAGTCCGGGCACCAAAAGTGAGGATTGTCCCAATAAAAAAATTACGGAAAAGGGACTTACCAAAAGGAGCAGGGAGGGAGAGATAAAAATTTCTCTCCTCTCTCTCTCTCTTCTCTCTCTCTCTCTATATATATATATAATATAATAATATATAATTATGTATCTGCTGTAGACAGATGAAAAGAGATAAGCAGGGTTGAAGAGATAAAAATTTCTCTCAGGCCCAGCACACCTGTAATCCTAGCTCTCTGGGAGGCGAGGCGGGAGGATTGCTCGAGGTCAGGAGTTCAAACCAGCCAGCAAGAGCAAGACCCCATCTCTACTATAAATAGAAAGAAATTAATTGCCAAGTAATATATATAGAAAGAAAAATTAGCCGGGTATGGTGGCGCATGCCTGTAGTCCCAGCTACTCGGGAGGCTGAGAAAGAAGGATCACCCGAGCCCTCGAGTTTGAGGTTGCTGTGAGCTAAGCTGATGCCATAGCACTCTAGTCTGGACACCAAAAGTGAGACTCTGTCTCAAAAAAAAAAAAAAAATTTCTATCTATCTATCTA